TCAGAGGTGGGTACCCAGCTACTTGATGAGGAGAAAGCTTGCAGCTTAGCAAGAAGTTGTCGAGCTGCGAGTAAGCACCCATACCAGCAGCAGCCCACCATTCCGGACACTCGACAGCAGCCGTGCGCAACCTACAACCCCTAGTAGGGTCATCAGCAGGGTTGTGGGCAGAGCGCACGTAGCCTCCAGCAGAATAGATACCGCAACCCAAAACCTCAGGCAAACTGTGACGAAGGCAAGCATTTAAGGAAGACGACGCGGACCTTCCCTTGCAGACTGCTCCAAGACATACCTGCGAATCACTACCAATAGCAACGCGCACATCACCCCCGCAAGAAGCACTAGACAAAGACTCGGCCTTCAAGTAGGAGCGCAACTCGCCAAGGTTGATATGTCTACCATTTTTTGCCCGCTGTTTCCAATCCAGTTTGTAGTTAAGACCCCTGGCAGCTACTTCCCAAACAGGATGTTCAATGAAAGGTTCCTCATCACCAGGAAGCTCATCGTTAGGATTGAGGGCGCCTTTCCCTCGCAACATTGCCTTGAAAGGAGTGAGCATTTTTGTCCAACAAGACCTTGATAGGCTGTGTCTGTGCATTTCAGATTGCAAACCTGCAGACAACTCAGCAGAGACAACTGCGTCGCCCCAATTTGAAGCATCAACCATGAAGATTCGGTCAGAAAAATTAGCACGAAGATCAGTGACTGCAAGAGGACACAGGATAACCAAAGACCAGAGCTCGTCAATTGCAGGCTTTGGCAAGCTAATAATATCCCTCTGATTACGGCCCCCCTGCAAGCTATACACGTATTCTAACAAGCAAAGCATCCGACGTCGAAAGCCGAAAAGAGAGACAAATCCGCCTGCAAGCACTTCTAACAACGAAATACTACAAACTCCCAATTTGGCAACCTCTGCCGTGACCCAAACCAAAGATGCTGCGCGAATCAAGTTACCGCGGACTAGACCTTCGAGACCATCCACGTCAGCACCCCAGAAGCTTGCAACTTCCTGCTGGCTGAAACCCTTGTCGGGATGTGCTTGCAAGCCAACTTTGGTGTACATGTCGTGCATACGACTTCGTCGGTCGTTGGAATCAGGGCTGTCCGAAGAGTCAATGGGAACCTTCTCCAGGAAACAAAAGTCATCAATGATAATGCCACCAACAGTGTTGCAACGAGGGGTCTTACCATGAATAGTTAACAGCTCATGGGATTGAAGGGCCCCGCATTGTAATGCCATAGCCAAGTGTGAAGTTTGAGCGTACTCGCACGCAGCTGAATCACCCATAGCCAATGAAGCAAGACAAGCGTAAACATAGGGTTCTTCTTGGAGAGCTTCGGGAAAAGAAGAAAAACCCTTAGCCACATAAATGGGAATTTTCCAGTCCAAAAAGTTTCGACTGATCCTGCGCTCATTAACACGAAACGTGTAGAAAAAATTCGATAAATCATCTCCAGTCATCAGCAGCTTCTCTCCCGGAAGCAAATGCATGCCCAGGATAGCGTTAGGAGAGGCCATGGTCATGATGAATTGGTTGGGGGGTGACTGAAGCAAATTCGCAGGCCTCCCATCCAAAATGAGTCTGTCAACTTTGGTGCTCTTGGGCACGCAAAACAAGCCGTTGCCGAAACCCTCGACAATGTCAGCTTTAGATCGAAAACCAAGCCTACCAGTTGATTCCAGCAAACGCAACAATTTGACCTTCTCATCGAGGTCGGCGTGTACTCGAACACGAGGGGGACACAAATCAGGGATGCTAGGAGCAATACCGCAAGAAAGAGGATCTTCATATAGCCTTTTTGATTTCTCATCCAAAAACGGAAGTGGGTCAAAAACAGGACGCCCTTCCATCTTGATCCTATCGGCGACAATAACTTGAGCACCAGTCATGTCACCCTTTGACAGCTTGCCGACAACCTTTACGCGCTCATTGACAGGTTTTCCATTTTGGATCCTACAGCGACTTTTCTGGTATTTCTTGACGTCAGCCACATTAGACTCGGCAAAAACCAACAGTTCCCTGAGCACCTCTTCTTGGCGCTCTTGTTTGGCCGCCACACGGCCCATGGCGTCTGCCTTGATGACGCCCGTTTTTTTCCAAGCACCACTGAGTCTGCGGAGGCGACTGATAACATCTTGCTGGCCAGAAGTCAAAGGCCGTGGTCCACAAATCCACCAGGGCGGTGTCACGCACCGGTTTAAATGCAAGAAGTTCAGGTAACCAACCTGAAGGTTGATGGCCTTACGAAAGGCCAGTTCATCGCCGTCACAGTCAAGACTCTGCCTGCCAAAATGGTAAGGCAATGGCATGGGCCAAAGTGGTGCCGTAGGAGATTGCTTCAAACCTCCTCTCGGCTTCGTAAACATGGCTTGGTAGAAGCTCCCAAACGGAGTCTTCGAGCAAAAAATCTGGCGAGTGATGGAGTGCCAGATGGATTGAATTCTAATACTGCTGGCGTTGGCACCTGGAGCGGTTTTGAGAGCCAAACAGTCATGCACTCTGGGAGGACAAGCTTCAAAGGCCTCCCCAGCTTCAACTTGAAAAGGAGCCTCAGGGCCAATCATCAACGGCCCAGCCTCAGAAGATCCTTGAGACCCATCATCATCGCCCAACGCCTTGCTGAGAGAGCTTTTCCCCAGGGACCGCCGACCGTGTACCGCAGTAGGGCTGCAAACCCCCCGCGCTGGGGAAGAAGAGCTCGGCAAACGGTCCCTGGTTGGAGCCCCCAGCGAAGATTTGGGGAAGCAAACGTGGCCAGCTAGGTTTCCGAGGCATCTGTCTCCCCAACTGCTCCTTTCTTCCACTTTCCTTTGGCCCATTTTCCCTTGCCACCTAGATCTTGGTTGGTAGCCAGGCTTCCGCGAGACTTGATGTTCAATTTCTTGCGCATCTCGACATAGGCATCGAGCTGCTTGAGCCGATCCGCAAAAGCTTCGATCCAACGAGGATCCAACAGCCTGGTCGTTGCCATTTCCACTGGCTCGGGAAGATGGTGATTCTGAAAATTGCTCACCGGAACTGCTGGCTCCATCAGAAATTCTTGACTGAGAAGAAAACTTCCATGGTCCAAGCTTTCCTGCTCGGCAGCTGCCAGGAGCAGCCCCGCGCGTGCTCTTGCCCTGTCCACCAGGTTCAAACGCAAGTCGTCTAGGATTCCAGCAATGCCCCACACCCAACGACAAGTTCGGATGTAGGGCTGGATCTTTGACCTGTGCTCGCACCAGCCCCTGGCAGAAAAAGCAGAAGTCGCGTTTGGCATCGCGGTCTGCAAGTTGAAATCCTGAGACATGTTGCTTTCGATGCTGCGCCAGATCTGAGCCGGATCTTCCATGAAGGCCTTGTGCAAAGCACGACGGGCTGCCGCATGCTTTCTGCCCATCGATGTTGAGACATCTCCCGATCCAGACGCGGCGTTGGAGCCGACTTGGTCCAGAGCATCCTCGAGAGATGCTTTGGAATCGGGTTTCTTGTTCATGTTCTTGACAATCTGAGTCAAAGTCACCAGCGCATCCGTCACAGGGTCGCCCGTATTGGGCTCGGGGTCTGCAACCTCTTCTTCTTC